AACCACTCATTATTGACAAACAAATCAACCTGTTTGGACCCAACTCTTTCAATTGCAATTCCAAACCACCCAACAGTGCAAACCTCCAAAACTCCTAAAAGTAAACACACCCCATAAAACATCAAGAACATCCAATGTGTGTGCGGTTGTGTGTGTGTCTGTGTGTTTGCTGCTATGCGTGAGCTCTGTGTGTGTGTGTGCTGCTGTGTGTGTGTCTGTGTGTTTGCTGCTATGCGTGAGCTCTGTGTGTGTGTGTGCTGCTGTGTGTGTGTTTCATCATAACTATAAAAACACTCAATTTAAAGACATCCAAATTAAAAATAGCCAAATTAAACACCCAATTTAAAGACATCCAAATTAAAAACACCCAAATTAAACACTCAAATTAAAAATACTCAAATTAAACACAAACATTCACAAACCCAATTAACCCAAATTCAAAAACTCAAACACAAATCACACACAGATTTGTGTGTGCGCGCGCGTGTGTGTTGCTGTGTGTATGTGTGATTGTTGCTATGCGTGAGCTGTGTGTTTGTGTGCAATTGTGTGTGTGTTGCTGTGTGTATGTGTGATTGCTGATGTGCATGAGCTCTCTGTGTGTGTGTGTGTTTGCGTGAGCTGTGTGTTGTGAGAGAGAGATGGGGTGTACCTGGGCTATGCTGTTGGTTCCATGGCAAATGAGCGAGATAGAGAGAGAGAGAGAAGGAGGAAGATGGTTTAAGTGGCGTGTGTAGGTTGTGTTTTGGAGTGGGGGTGACGTGTGTTTGGGGTTAAAATGGGACGGATTTGACATTTGTATGGAATGCATTTTGAGCCTTTGGATTAAGTTGGAAGAATTAAGATGAAATTTGAGCCTGACTTAAAAGTGGATGTAATATGAGTCATCCTTGTACTTTCCCAAATAAATTAAAATTGAATTAAATTTTGAAGTGAAAATAGATTCAAAATTGGTTCTATCTTATTATTATAGATTTAGTTACAGTAAAATTGAGGCAACAAAAAGGTTCTGCCAAAACAATAAATTGGTTAGAAACAGATTGATAACACACCACACCAGTGGTTGGAGTTAATGTAGAAAAAGTAACCAAACAAAAAAAAGATACAAATACGATCTCATCATATGTTGTTAACCTACTATTAAAATTCCCAAAATAAATTTGATTCCATACAANTGTGTTGCTGTGTGTATGTGTGATTGTTGCTATGCGTGAGCTGTGTGTTTGTGTGCTATTGTGTGTGTGCTGTTGTGTGTATGTGTGATTGCTGCTGTGCATGAGCTCTCTGTGTGTGTGTGTGTTTGCGTGAGCTGTGTGTTGTGAGAGAGAGATGGGGTGTACCTGGGCTATGTTGTTGGTTCCATGGCAAATGAGCGAGATAGAGAGGGAGAGGGAGAGAGAGAGAGAAGGAGGAAGATGGTTTAAGTGGCGTGTGTAGGTTGTGTTTTGGAGTGGGGGTGACTGTGCTTGGGGTTAAAATGGGACGGATTTGACATTTGTATGGAATGCATTTTGAGCCTTTGAATTAAGTTGGAAGAATTAAGATGAAATTTGAGCCTGACTTAAAAGTGGATGTAATATGAGTCATCCTTGTACTTTCCCAAATAAATTAAAATTGAATTAAATTTTGAAGTGAAAATAGATTCAAAATTGGTTCTATCTTATTATTATAGATTTAGTTACAGTAAAATTGAGGCAACAAAAAGGTTCTGCCAAAACAATAAATTGGTTAGAAACATATTGATAACACACCACACCAGTGGTTGGAGTTAATGTAGAAAAAGTAACCAAACAAAAAAAAGATACAAATACGATCTCATTATATGTTGTTAACCTACTATTAAAATTCCCAAAATAAATTTGATTCCATACAAATTTAGCCAAATTTTCCTGAGAAATATAAAAAACAACAAAAAAATAAAACTAACATTGTGTATGCAAAATTCGGCTAAGCCAATGAGATTAAAAAGCAATTGAAATTATGAAGGACACAGTTTGTAGGCAAAAATAAATGAAGCAAGAACAATTAGAACCCAAAAAAGTTGCTAATGGCTTTTTTTCCTTCACTCCGATATTTCGTCGACCACCTAGAATGCAGAAGTGTTGGTTTATGGTAGTCAAGTGCTATTTTTGTCTCTTTGATATTTTGGCAATCACCTAGTATTCAAAAAAAAAAAAAAAAGGCCGGGGGTTGCATGGTTTAATAACAAGGGTTCTTAGTTTTATAAAATTTTCATGTATATGTGTGGGCGTAGGTGTGAGTGTTCTATACGGATGTACAAGTTGGCGTGAGTTGTACTTTGTACAAGGATCAACTTAGATTATTTATAGAAAATGTTTCTTTGTAAAATCCATTACTTAAAGGGTCAACCATAATTATAGCCTTACATCATGTATTTCTTAGAATAGCCTCCCATGTATCTACATATACCTCTGTACTCTACTATTGCAAAATAATAAGAAATAGAAACTTTTGACATGGTATCAGAGTGGGATCCTAGGATCTTTGCTCCGTTTACCCACTAATCAAAATCTCTACCTCTCGGCAACCATGGCAGAGTCCAGTCTCGACGATTGGACAACAAAAATAATAAAGGCCTTGACCAAAGTCCAGACCTCTTCTATAACCCCATCTGATTCCTCGAATGCTCCTATTGGCATTAAGTTGGACGGTTCCAACTATGCCTTATGGTCTCAAGTTGTTGAGATGTATATCTCAGGGAAGGTCAAACTGGGATACATTACTGGCGACTCTTCTCAACCTCTTGAAACCAATCCACTTTTCCGAAAATGGAGAACTGAAAATGCCATTGTCAAAGGATGGTTGATCAACTCGATGGACCCCTCCTTGATTGGTAATTTTATTCGATTTCAAACTGCTAAAAAGGTATGGGACTCGATTGCTACAACCTTTTTTGATGGGACCGATACATCCCAAGTTTATGACCTTCGGCATCGTGTAACTTGCATGAGGCAGGCGGGTGGATCCATTGAGAAATATTACACTGACCTTCAAGGTTTATGGCGCGAAACTGATTTTCGTCATCCTAATCCAATGAAATGTGCAAAGGATATTCAGAAATATAACTCCATTCTACAGGAAGATAGAGTCTATGCCTTCCTCGACGGCTTAGATGATCGGCTAGACAAGGTTCGAAGTGATGTTCTTCAACTACAACCCTTCCCTACAGTTGAGCAGGCATATGCTCATGTCCAACGTGACGACATTAGGCAAGCAGTCATGACATCCGGCAGTGATATTGCTCCAGGTGCGGTTATGGCATCCAAAGGATTCAAACCCGGAAAACCAAAATCAAAACCTCAATCTGAAGGAGGGAAATGCACCCCATTGTGGCAACATGAAATATACCAGTGAAACTTGCTTTAAGTTACATGGGTATCCAGAGTGGTGGAATGATATTCAAGCACGAAAAAACCGTGAGGGGACTGGCACAAATGAAGGCACGGGAGGAGCAGCTGTTGCAAGTGCCGAACCACAATTATCTCTGATTGTTGAATCAAAATCAACAAACTCTTTCACACCCCTCAGTGATCAAGGTAACCATGGACAAGTGTTGGTTACATGTTATGATCACGATGATAACATGTGGATTATGGACTCTGGGGCTATTGATCACATGACCTTTGATTCTCATGATTTCTCACACATCACTCAACCCAAGAAAACTCGTATTGCAAAATGCTAATGGCATCCAATATCTAGTTATGGGAGCGGGAACAGTGGCCTTATCCTCCTCTCTTTCCCTAAACCATACTCTACTTGTTCCATCTTTATCAAATAAATTGCTTTCTGTCAGTCAAGTTACAAACGACCTCAATTGTGCTTTATTAATTTATCCTACATTTTGTCTTCTACAGAATATTCTTACCAAGGAGATCATTGGGCGTGGTACTAAAAAAGGGGGACTCTACTACATGGATGACTTCAGTTCAGGGAAAGTCAACCAGGTCCGACACACAACCAGTGATAAGGAACGACAAATTTGACTCCTTCATAATTGCTTGGGACTTCCCTCTTTTGGATATTTGCAACATCTCTTTCCAACTTTGTTTTCTGCATTACAACATTTATCCTTTCAATGTGAGACATGTATTGCAGCCAAGAGCCAGAGAGTTCCTTGCCCCGTGAGCCACACAAAAAGAGACATGCCTTTTTCTTTAATCCATTCAGATGTATGGGGATCTTCCCCTATTATTACTCCATCTAGAAATAAATGGTTTCTCATTTTTGTTGATGATTGCACCCGAATGACATGGTTGTATTTACTCAAATAGAAAGATGAAGTGTTTGGTGTATTTCAATCATTTCATGTAATGATTCAAACACAATTTTCAACTAAGATTAAGGCCCTCCGTACCAACAATGGAGGTGAATATGCCAATGCAAAATTTTAGGCATACTTCCAACACCATGGCCTCATTCATGAAACCTCATGTTCCCAAACTCCTCAGCAAAATGGCATTGCCGAGAGGAAAAATCGAAATATCTTAGAGACAACACGAGCATTGTTAATTGTAGCACGTGTGCCTTCTCGGCATTGGGATGATGCAGTTGCCACAGTCGTATATTTACTCAATAGAATGCCTTCTAAAGTCCTACATTTTTAGACTCCCTGGCAGACTCTCTCTAGCCATACATCTTTACCCAATGTGTTAATGCTCCCTCCCCGGACCTTTGGATGCGATGCCTTCGTTCATCTCCATAAAAATCAACGAACCAAGTTGGAACCATGTGCAATCTGATGTCTCTTCTTGGGATATGCTCTACATCAGAAAGTGTATAGATGCTTCGACCCCATCACTAAACGAACATACATCACCATGTATGTCACCTTTCTTGAAGCAGAGACTTTCTATCTATCACCTTCATCCAAACCATCTCTTCAGGGGGAGCTTAAAAATGAAGAGGTGAATTGGCTAGCAACAACATGGCTAGAACCGGGAGGTGACTCAGAACAACATCAAGATGAAAACAGTGAGATGAGGTCAATTGAGGAATGTTCTCCAGTAGTAGAATCAACACTTGAAGAACCGGGCAACATGGAAGTTAATGAAACACCTGCACCTATCAGTGATATGGCTTCAAGTGATGCAACAACAAGTGATGGTTTCCTCTCTTTAGTACCCGAAAGCCCCTCTCTTGAGAATATCACTGAGGTAAGTTTCCCTATCATATCCTCTTTTACTGAAAACGTGAATAGTACTGTGCAATATGTGTTGCCTTTCAGACATAACCGTGGCAAACCACCAAGCCGATACTCTCCGGAAGTGGAAGATAGAAGATCCAAATATCCTATTGTCAACTATGTGTCCACTCACAAGATATCCGAACCACTCAAGGCCTTTGCACATAAACTATCCTCAGATTACATTCCTCAAAATGTCGAAGAGGCATTACTTGATCCATAATGGAGTCAAGCTATAAAAGAAGAACTGAAGGCTTTGCAAAAAAATGAGACTTGGAGGCTGATCTCACTACCTGAAGGAAAGCAATCAGTAGGGTGCAAATGGTTCTTCTCCAGTAAAAATAATGCTAATGGATCCATTGATAGGTACAAAACAAGACTCGTGGCAAAGGGGTACACACAGACGTAAGGAATAGATTACGAAGAAACGTTCTCACCGGTAGCAAAACTAAACACTGTTAGAGTTTTGTTATCCCTTGTAGCAAATTTAGATTGGCCATTACACCAATTTGATGTGAAGAACGCTTTTCTCCATGAGAATTTAGAAGAAGAAATCTTCATGGATCTTCCACCTAGGTACTCGGCAACTCCAGAAGATAAAGTAGTATGCAAGCTACAATAGGCCTTGTATGGGTTAAAACAATCACCCCGTGCATGGTTCGGTCGATTCACTGTAGCTATGAAGAAATGTGGCTTTCAGCAGAGTAACTCAGACCATACCCTTTACCTAAAGCACCAATCAGGAAAAGTGACAGCGCTAATTATTTATGTAGACGACATGATCGTTACGGGTGATGACAAAGAAGAAATCTCCAAGTTTCAAGAGCAATTGTCAGCTGAGTTTGAGATGAAGAACCTAGGGGGATTCAAGTACTTCCTGGGAATCAAAGTATCCATATCAAAGCAAGGCATATCTTTATCTCAAAGAAAATATGTCTTAGACTTGTTAGCTGAAGTGGGGTTGCTAGAATGTAAACCAGCCGATACTCCCATTGTCCAAAATCATCAACTTGGGATATATGCCGATCAAGTGACCACGGACAAAGAGAGATACCAAAGGATTGTTGGTAAGCTTATTTACTTGTCACATACTCGACCATAAGTGTAGTGAGTCAATTCATGCACTACCCTAGTGAAGCCCATATGAATGCAGTAACTAGAATTCTTCGGTATTTAAAGTTCTCAAATGGGAAAGGACTAATGTATTCTGAAAATGATCATTTGAACATTGATGGATACACCGACGCAGATTGGGCAAGAAATATTTCAGATAGGAAGTCAACTTCAAGCTACTTCACCTTCGTAGGAGGTAATCTCGTCACTTGGAGGAGCAAGAAACAAAAAGTTGTTGCACTATCCAATGCTGAAGCAGAATTTCGAGGTATGGCCAAAAGTGTGTGTGAACTTCTTTGGCTGAGAAGGCTGTTAACGAAAATAGGCTTTGCTCTCAGCTCAGAAATGAACCTGTTTTGCGACAATAAGGCAACCATTGGCATCTCTTATAATGCTATTCAACATGATCGGACTAAGCATGTTGAGGTCGATCGACACTTCATTAAACAAAATCTTGAAGAAAAAATCATTTGGTTCCCATTTGTCAAGTCATAAGACCAGCCTTGCAGATGTACTCACGAAAGCCATATCCAGCATAAATTTCTACATCTCACTCGGCAAGTTGGGCATTAGAGACATCTATGCACCAACTTGAGGGAGAGTGTTGGCGTGAGCTGTGCTCTGTACAAGGATCAAATTAGATTATTTATAGAAAGTGTTTCTTTGTAAAATCCCTTACTTAAAAGGGTCAACCATAATTATAGCCTTAGATCATGTATTTCTTTGAATAGCCTCCCATGTATTTACATATACCTCTGTACTCTGCTATTACAAAATAATAAGAAACAGAAACTTTTGACAGTATACATAATACTTATACATACCTACAATAAAAGACACAAAAATAATCCTCAAGAAATATGTAACTCAAATTGACTAAATTAGTAGATCATAAATATTTGTTAAATCCACATATTCATTCTATTTTAACAATGTAAAATTAGATAAGTATAAATGTATAAGGTCTCCAATTTTTCACCCGTTGATCCTATGCTTAAACTAATCCAAGTAGATCCACATTGATCAACTTTAAAACCAACACATGACATAAGATTTAAATAATCAAGTAGAACCACATTAACAAACTACAAAACCAATATATTTTAATTAGGATTTAAATAGCCTAAAAAATTGTTATAGTATCAAATTTCACTATTTTCAAGCAAATTCACATTAATCTACTTCAAAAGTAATCATTTGACAGTAGAAATCAATATGTATAGACAACACTTGATCAAAGATTTGATTTCAATTTCATTAACAAACCCTAACTAAGCACAACATGAAATTAAAATTTTCTAGTGTTTTGAAAATTACCTAGCTATTCTCAAAAGAAAAAAAAATACCTAGCACCCGGAGAGTATCGAGTGGACATGGTTGCCACTTGAATTCAACCACCACCTAAATAACAACAAATAAAACATAAACAAAGAAACTATAATTAAGTCAATTTTTCAGGATCAGAAGATCAATAATATACCTAATGTAATCTACTGGAACACAACATCATGTTTTATGAAGACATCAAATTGTTGATACGTATTTAGCCCAAAAAAATGTTGAAAATATGAAATATTCTATGTAACTCGAAGAAGAAAAATATAACTCTCAATTGCTTTTTCGAAGATTTTTAACACATGGGATGAAATTAGCCCCATTGGCTTATTCATTGTCTACTTCTACAGCTCACTCGATTAAAAAATTCAAGCATCAAAAACCAAGAAAGATTAATTTGCGATAACAACAACAATTCTACTTTTAACTGCTAATTGCTCAATTTAATTGAAAAAATAAAAAGAAATGAACCAAAACGAACCATGAAGGTGGAATTCAATAGGAGACAAATTGAATCAAAGCTACTACTTTCCTGAATTTTTCTATGAGTTGGAACTAAACAGAAAGTATGATACCCACATTCAAAAAATTCATTTTCTTTCCCAAAAACTCTTATTATCAATCCCTCCATGCAATCCACTACAATCCCTTTGATGACCGTATTAAACTTTACTTTTATAGGAAAACTTATGCAATCAAGTAAAGATAAACATGAAAAGAGAATTAGAAACTAAAATCCACTACTTGAAAACATTGTGAAGGAAGTGTTCCCCATGCATCCCCACATTTGATGTCATTTTTCCCTCCATCAAACACCATACAATTCACTCACCTGTTACCCATAACCGAAATTCATCAAACGTCTACAAATAGTTGATGTCCAAAAAACTCGGGCTAACAGTTTCATTTGGCTCTATCAGGCATTTTAACAAATAGTTGATGTCCAGGGTGGGGCAGTGGGTTATGTGACTTGTGTCTAGTGGTCACGAGGGAGAGGAGGAAAGGAGTGGAGGCAGTGGTATGCTATTTTGGGGTGGTAATGTCTGTGGGATGGTTTCGTGGGCTGTGGGGTGGGTTGATGGGTCTATGGTGGGATATTTGGTGGCGGATTTTTTTTGGGGAGAGGGGGGTAATGCGGTGGTGGTAGAAAGAGAGGGGGGAGAAGAAGAATGGGGAGTCAGATAGAAGAGGAAGAGGAAGAAAGAGATAAATGGGGTCGTTGGGCATCGTCGATCGGCAAGGACACGGTGTTGTAGAGGTGGTGGAGACAAAAGAGATGGAGGAAAACAAAAAGTAAGAGGAGAGGAATTAACATCCAATTTCAAAATCCTAAATTAACACCCAATTCAAAACCCTAAATTAGCATATTGGGTGTGCCATGATGTGTGTGTATGTGACTGTGATTGCGTGCTCTGGCTGGTTAGGGGTGTGTTTGTGTTTGTTCGATTGTGTGTGTGTGACTGTGTGTGCATGTGTAGAGAGGGAGGGGAGAGAGAGGGAGAGGGAGAATAGCTTAACTGGATCGGTGGGGTGACCGGTTAAGGGTGAGAGGGAATGAGGAGGTTGCAAAGGAGGAGACAGATAGAAAGACGAAGAAGAGAGATGTTAGGCCCTCGGGGAGTTATGTCTGACAAATGAGTTGGGCACTGCGCAAAAGGTTTGGACGGGATAAGTTTTTGTGTGAGATACATTGTCAGCCTTTGGATTAACTTGGAATAATGGAGATGAAATCTAGTCCATAAAATTATTGGAATAATGGAGATGAAATCTAGTCCATAAAATTAAAAGTAGATTAAATTTGAGCGGTCTTTGTGCTTTTCCAAATGAATAAAAATTAGATTAATTTTTGAAGTAAAAATGAATTCAAAACTCGTTTCTGTTTTATTATATAGATATAGATACGGGGAGTTTACCGAACAACCAACCTCTTTTTTTCCTTATTTTTTCTAAGAGCAAATTACATCAAAATTCTTGAAATTTTTCACTTAATTCTTTAAATCTCTTGTCATTTGAAATATTATACACAAACTTTTTAGGTTTATACGCGCGTAACAATTAGGCATCTACTTTCAACGTTCATTAGTATATCTATTAATAATTACACTCAAGTTGTTTAAAATTTGTAAACGTGTAATACTTAAATCTCTCTAGTTTGAAATATTATATTAGACTCCTTATTAGTTTAAAATTAAATTGTCTCAATTAAAGATATAATATATTGTGTTAATTACAATCTTATCATTTGTTTGATTTATAATTTTATTCTAATAGACAGTATAATTGTATATAAATGGGTGTTGAATTGAGTATTAATTATAAGTTTTTTGGCATCAACAATATTAATTATGATTTTTAAAAGAAAAAATATAGATTTTTATTTTTTATTTTTTATTTTATTTCAATAAATAACATAAAAGAACATAAATCTTGTATCTAAAATTACCAAGTTTAATCTTACTATTCTATTTAGGCGTGTTTAGAATTCCCATTAGTGACTTTGGGTATATGATGATGAAATGACACAGAAATTAGGACCATTTGGAAGCACAATTTTTTTTAGAAATAACTCACTACCTTGACACGCAATTGATATAAAACTGTAATTATAATGTTATTCATTTTGAATATGCGAGTTGACTTATCTAACCCGCTTTAAGCATGATTTCTAGAACGCGACTAAACAAGATTTATAACCGACACAAACTATCATATGTAAACAAGATTTATAATCGACACAAACTATCATATGTACATCGACGACAACAATAATTAAATTATATGTTAATTAAATAAATTTTGATAAGTGCCAGCTTCATCGCCTTTTTTTTTTTCCCGATAAGTAACGTCATTCCTCATTCACAAGTAATCGAGTAGTGGCAAAATTGAATAGGGGGAAAATATTCAATAATATCACTACTTTTTTTTTTTTTAATCCAAATAATATCACTACTAAATAATAAGAGTTAACAGCACTGATGTTTCTCGAAGTACGAAATTTGTCTAATTTTAGCATCCAATATTTTAATTGTATTATTTTGGTTATTGAAGTATTAATTATATTTTTGTGGTCCGTCAAATAGATAACATTTAAATTACTAAAAAAAATTTTATCGTAAACTTATCACGTAATATTTAAATATGACCAAAAAAATAATTTAAATAATTTTTGAATAAATTTTTACTCAAATTTTTTGAAATAGTTACCCAAGTTACACAATTTTGATCATGATTTATCTAAATTTCGGTTAAGAGCTACTCATATTACATATTTTTTGTCAAAAATTATACAAATTTTGATCAAGAGTTACCCAAATTATTATTTTTTTCATATTTAGGCATCATGTAATAAATTTATAATTAAAAACTGTTAATAATTTAGATAATATCTGTTTGATAAACCATATAAAAATATATTCAATATTTCAGAGACTAAAATAATGTAATTGAAATATTGAGGACCAAAATAAGACAAATTTTATTATTTAGAGACCTTCAATACAATTAATTCTAATAAAAAATTATTTTATAAAGCTAATACATTGTCGACTAGTTTTTATTTGATAAATAATATCATGTGAGTATTTAGTCTGATTGGGGTATTGTTTGGTACAAGGACTAAGTCATCTAAGAAGTAGCCGCCTGTCCACGATATCGCAGCTGATGGTGATAGTGAAAGGCAGCACAAAGTCGTCCACTGTTCCAGTTGTAAGGGTATACTTTATCGCATCATAATTCTCGTCGACCACACAAAAAGGTATCTTTGTGTACAAGATTGTCGGAGATATTTCGATAAAACATACCCACTTTTGATCTTTTCATACACCATTGTATTCACGATGGGTTGCAAATGCAGCAAAAAAACTGAAAATACTCCCGATCTGAGCTCATTTGAGGCTACTTTTGGAGCCGATCCAGAACTTCAATCTCTAAGATTGAAGCTCGAGCAACGCACCACCGGAGTTGTCACCACTCTCGCTACCGGCGGTAAGTTTCAATATCTTTCCTTAGACTCTCTCCGAGAAGTCCCCCGTTGTCTCCTCGAAAATGACGAAGAAGTGGTGAACGCAGTTTTAGAGCACCAGAAAGAAATATGGGATAACCCAGAACTGTCAGATCTAGTGAAGGACTATTTCAAGACCAATCGTAAGACTATAGACTTGTGTAATTCTCTTGAAAAATGCCTCAAACGAGCTCGTGACAGGCACGCCATTATTCAAGTCGCGTTAGCCCGATTTGATGAAGAACACAGAGAAAGGTCCCATGACGGAAAGACCTCGTATTCAAACACTTTACAAGAATTCAAGAATTTCAAGGTGGCCGGTGACCCATTTGGTAATGAGTTCTTCTCTTCTTTTCGATCAGTTTACGAACAACAATGGAATTTGCTACAAAAATTGCAAGTCCAAAAAAGTAAACTCGATGAAAAATTGAAGCAAGTGAAGGCATGGAGGAAGGTGTCAAATGTGCTATTTGGGGTCACTTTTGTTGCGGTGGTCATTTTCTCCGCGGTGATGACGGCCATTGCGGCGCCAACAATGGTGACGGCGTTGGCCGGCGCGGCATCGGTGCCATTAGGGTCAACGGGTAAATTGTTGGATTGGTTTTGGAAAAATTGGGTGAATGTAATCGACCAGCAAAGTGGAATAACCCGTTCTATGCATGTTAAGACTAGATGGCATGCGATTAAGGAGTTGGAAAACATTGGGCTGCTTGTGGATAAGTTGGAACAGGAGATGAAGTTGCCGTCGGCTGAGATTGATCTTGGTTTGGAAAAAGATGAGGCTGTGATGGTGGTGGTGAATGAGTTAAGGAACAAGATAAATGTGATTATGCCAGAGCTTGATGCTTTGATGGAGCGCACTGCTCAGTATAGACAAGAAATTAGAAAAGATATGGAGACTATCTACGATAAAATTTGCCAGAATCCTAAGAGTAGCAGCTGTTTTAGCAATTTAAATTGCTTTACTTAGTGGTCTTGCTCTAATTCACTTTTAGTAGCAGCCGATGTCTCTAAAGAAGGTGGTTTGCCTCATTTTTACCTTTAATATTTTTATTGTATAGTTTTGATATATAAAGTGTTGAATATATTTTTATGTGGTTCAGCGTTCAGATTGTTAACAATTTTTTTATTATAAATTTGTCATATAATACTTAAATATAAACAAAAAAATAATTTAGATAACTTTTGAAATATTGAGGACAAACCTCATTTTTAGGCATCTCCAACCGTTTTACTCAAATTTAAATTTAAATAAAAAGTCAAAAAAAACTTGTTTCATCCTCCGACTTAAACTTAAAACAAATTATTAAAAATCTTCTTTAAGACCCAAAATTAGGATACCCAAATTCTATATCAAAATCCAATGGCTACTTTTTCTCTTCCCTTCAATGCCTCTGCCACCTCAATGCCTTTTTGAGCCCGGAACGACGTCATCGACTGCCCATCGTTCTTCTTCCTTTAAAAAAAAAAAAAAAAATTGGTATAAATCCTAACCCTACCCATCGTTGCAACTGGTAGAATCCCCTTCAATTTTTTTCTGTTTTGTTTTTTCTACATTGGTTGAATTTTTGTGCAATTGGTAGAATCCTCTTCATTGATTTTCAGCAATTTAGGATTTTTTCTGCCATTACCGATGAGCTTTTGGGACATGAAATTTTTTTAAAAGATTTGAGTAATATTTAAGTTTCTCTATTAAAGTAGTCTATACCAAATTAAGTTTTTTTTCCTCAAATTTGAGTAAATATTTAAGTCTTCATTGGGGATGCTCTTATGATGTATTTGATATAGTGAATGAAAATATTAGGACTTAAATAGCTTGAACCGATCAACCTTAAGTAATTAGGAGTTAAAGTTTAAATTCAATTGTTATATCCATTGATTAAGTAGTCTTTTATGCCATTCTTTTTTAAATATTGAGTTGCTATATGTGTAAATTCAGTTTAGTTTTACTTTATTTTATGACTAGAAATTATTCGTGCCTAAAGACACTATACAACAATAAAAAATCGTAAAAGTCCAAATCGCATCTGATGGCGTATACCAACGTGGAAGAGTTTAAGGTGAAAATAATGTGAGGTGAGCGTGGATCAGAGCTACAAGACTCGTGTATGATGCTAACTGATAAAATATCCAGAGGATTAAAGGGGTGCACACAGTGAAAATATAGTGATTCACCGGTTCAAAAGTTCGGTTAGTTCACTCTTCAATAGAGATTCTTGCTCCTTTTGTTTTATTCACGATGATTACAAAGTTGTTATGGCTTCCTCTTGCCACTTGGGTTCTCTATCTTTGTTAGGAGGTGTTACAGTGCATTTATAGGGTCATTCCCTACTAAATGGGATTTTGGCCGAGATTCTTGCCTGACTTCGTGGAGTTCTCCCTAATTTTTGGAGAAGATCTTGGTTTGTTGAGATTAGATGTCTTGATTATAGCTTTCTAACGCTTTAGGAACCTCTCATGATTATCCAGTTGTTGTCTTGGTTGTTATTGTCATTGCTTATCTCGAAGGGACCTCCAGCTCTACTTTTCCGAGTTCTACTTGTCTAGTTTGGCCTCCTGGGCTGAGCTGACCTCCTGAGCTGGCACTTGAGATTTATTTTGAGGTATCATCAGTTGCTCCCCCAACTCTTAGCCCAAACGAGCTTGGGCATGGGCTGAGCTGTTTTTACCTTGGACCAGACCTGCGTCTAGCTGACCTTAGTCTGCATGTGAGATGCATGTGGGAGGGGTTTTTTGATGGTTACAGCAATCATGGCTCCCTTGGTTCCCGTGCATGCCTCATCTCATGTCTTTCAAGCCTTAAATGCTCAAACGGCTAAAAGAAAACCACACAAAACCACCTTCCATCTTCTACACTGTTCATCTTTGTCTTCGGCTCTTTTTCTCTGCGATTTATGGGCTTTCCTTCACGCGATTCCCTTATTCTCTGCTCTAGACTATGCTTTCTGGGTTCAACTCAAAGTCCTGCTTTGTTCCTTTCCTCTAATTTTATTCTTTGGCTGATGTTTGTTGCTCTCTTCCCTGTCTAAGTACGCTTCTTTTTGCCCCTTTCTCTTTCTCTTGCCTTTTCTCATTCGGGATCCCTCGACTTCGAGGTGACAATTATTTTTCTGAGTTTTTCAATTCTTTTTTTTTTGGAATCGCGATCGTTGCCTATCTCCTCTTCCCCGCTTTGTGGATTGGAATTTCACTGTGTGAATTCTTACTGTTGGGTGGTACAACACTGACCCTAGGATTATCAGGAGGTGTTTAGTTAGTATTCCTCCTTTTTATAATTCTTTCGACTTGTTTTTCTCTTTGCCAATCATGTCTGTCTCCTCTGGAGCAACTCCCTCCTCTGTTTTCCTCCTAGGCAACAGGTTTGCCAAGAGAGATTCTGATTTAGGGGATGTAGGCAATGAGATTGACAACTTCTTCGGTGTTGAGGCTGTTGACACCGAAGTGGACTCCGAGGAACTCCCTTCATCTTCCTCTCATATACCTCCTAGTGCTGAAAAGGGTAAGGGTAAGGTGAGTGGTGTGAGAGTCATTGGTTCAGGCGTAGGGGCTGTCTTTAGGAACGCTGAACTTGTAGGTTCCAACGGACTTACCTCTATTGACCTGAAGGTTTTCAGTGCTCGCTTTCATTTTTTCGTAGGGGTTCAGCCTTTCATCCTTTTATCAAAGTTGTGCTTCAACACTTCAATGTCTGCCCCTGCCCAGCTCTCCCCCAGCTTCTGGGGTGTTCTTATGGGTTTACTAGTCTTCTTTAAGGACCAAAAGTTTGGGGTCCCTACTGTTTCCTTACTTATGGAGCTGTTCAATGTCAAGCAGACCTCCTCTGACGGTTTTCTGTATATTTTCAAGATGACTAAGGTCAAACAGGTCATCTCTGACCTCTCAAGCTCCCATAAGGGCTGAAAGAAACGATTTTTCTTTATAGGCAGTACACAGTAGGAGTTCAACTCAGAGGATAAAGCTGATACCCTCCCCATCCCTACAGAGTGGTCTGCCCCTGATAATTTGGGTATGTTTCTGCTCAGATCGTATTTAATCCAACTGTTTTTTTAATTTTTTTTTATTTTCCTTGGTTTTCTAAGTATCCAACTTGAGCTCAGCACTGAAGAAGAGGAGTGAGTATTACAGAAATTGGAAAAGTATAATCCAGAGAAATATTATGAACTCATTCAACCTTGGATTCTCGTAGAACACGGGTTCTGCCTTCCTGAGGTGAGGGTTGAAGCTCCCCTTCCACTTTTTGTTGCTGGCCTCATCCCACTTTCTGCCGAAGATATATAAAATAACACTAAACAAGATTTATAATCGACACAAACTATCATATGTACATCAACGACAACAACAATAATTAAATTATATGTTAATTAAATAAATTTTGATATGTGCCAACATCATCGCTCTTTTTTTTTTCCCGATAAGTAACATCATTCCTCGTTCACAAGTATTCCAGTAGTAGCAAAATTGAATAGGGGGAAAATATTCAATAATATCACTACTTTTTTTTTTTTTGATCCAAATAATATCACTACTTATTAATAAGAGTTAGCATCATTGATTTTTCTCAAAGTATGAAATTTGTCTAATTTTAGTATCTAACATTTTAATTGCATCATTTTGGTCATTGAAGTATTAAATATATTTTTGTGGTCCATTAAATAGATAATATTTAAATTACTAAAAAAAATTTTATCGTAAACTTATCACGTAATACTTAAATATGACCAAAAAAATAATTTATATAACTTTTGACTAAATTTTTACTCAAATTTTGTGAAATAGTTACATAATTTTGATCATGATTTATCTAAATTTCGATTAAGAGCTACTCATATTACATATTTTTTGTCAAAAATTATACAAATTTTGATCAAGAGTTACCCAAATTATTATTTTTTTCATATTTAGGCATCATGTAATAAATTTATAATTAAAAACTGTTAATAATTTAGATAATATCTGTTTGATAAACCATATAAAAATATATTCAATATTTCAGAGACTAAAATAATGTAATTGAAATATTGAGGACCAAAATAAGACAAATTTTATTATTTAGAGACCTTCAATACAATTAATTCTAATAAAAAATTATTTTATAAAGCTAATACATTGTCGACTAGTTTTTATTTGATAAATAATATCATGTGAGTATTTAGTCTGATTGGGGTATTGTTTGGTACAAGGACTAAGTCATCTAAGAAGTAGCCGCCTGTCCACGATATCGCAGCTGATGGTGATAGTGAAAGGCAGCACAAAGTCGTCCACTGTTCCAGTTGTAAGGGTATACTTTATCGCATCATAATTCTCGTCGACCACACAAAAAGGTATCTTTGTGTACAAGATTGTCGGAGATATTTCGATAAAACATACCCACTTTTGATCTTTTCATACACCATTGTATTCACGATGGGTTGCAAATGCAGCAAAAAAACTGAAAATACTCCCGATCTGAGCTCATTTGAGGCTACTTTTGGAGCCGATCCAGAACTTCAATCTCTAAGATTGAAGCTCGAGCAACGCACCACCGGAGTTGTCACCACTCTCGCTACCGGCGGTAAGTTTCAATATCTTTCCTTAGACTCTCTCCGAGAAGTCCCCCGTTGTCTCCTCGAAAATGACGAAGAAGTGGTGAACGCAGTTTTAGAGCACCAGAAAGAAATTTGGGATAACCCAGAACTGTCGGATCTAGTGAAGGACTATTTCAAGACCAATCGTAAGACTATAGACTTGTGTAATTCTCTTGAAAAATGCCTCAAACGAGCTCGTGACAGGCACGCCATTATTCAAGTCGCGTTAGCCCGATTTGATGAAGAACACAGAGAAAGGTCCCATGACGGAAAGACCTCGTATTCAAACACTTTACAAGAATTCAAGAATTTCAAGGTGGCCGGTGACCCATTTGGTAATGAGTTCTTCTCTTCTTTTCGATCAGTTTACGAACAACAATGGAATTTGCTACAAAAATTGCAAGTCCAAAAAAGTAAACTCGATGAAAAATTGAAGCAAGTGAAGGCATGGAGGAAGGTGTCAAATGTGCTATTTGGGGTCACTTTTGTTGCGGTGGTCATTTTCTCCGCGGTGATGACGGCCATTGCGGCGCCAACAATGGTGACGGCGTTGGCCGGCGCGGCATCGGTGCCATTAGGGTCAACGGGTAAATTGTTGGATTGGTTTTGGAAAAATTGGGTGAATGTAATCGACCAGCAAAGTGGAATAACCCGTTCTATGCATGTTAAGACTAGATGGCATGCGATTAAGGAGTTGGAAAACATTGGGCTGCTTGTGGATAAGTTGGAACAGGAGATGAAGTTGCCGTCGGCTGAGATTGATCTTGGTTTGGAAAAAGATGAGGCTGTGATGGTGGTGGTGAATGAGTTAAGGAACAAGATAAATGTGATTATGCCAGAGCTTGATGCTTTGATGGAGCGCACTGCTCAGTATAGACAAGAAATTAGAAAAGATATGGAGACTATCTACGATAAAATTTGCCAGAATCCTAAGAGTAGCAGCTGTTTTAGCAATTTAAATTGCTTTACTTAGTGGTCTTGCTCTAATTCACTTTTAGTAGCAGCCGATGTCTCTAAAGAAGGTGGTTTGCCTCATTTTTACCTTTAATATTTTTATTGTATAGTTTTGATATATAAAGTGTTGAATATATTTTTATGTGGTTCAGCGTTCAGATTGTTAACAATTTTTTTATTATAAATTTGTCATATAATACTTAAATATAAACAAAAAAATAATTTAGATAACTTTTGAAATATTGAGGACAAACCTCATTTTTAGGCATCTCCAACCGTTTTACTCAAATTTAAATTTAAATAAAAAGTCAAAAAAAACTTGTTTCATCCTCCGACTTAAACTTAAAACAAATTATTAAAAATCTTCTTTAAGACCCAAAATTAGGATACCCAAATTCTATATCAAAATCCAATGGCTACTTTTTCTCTTCCCTTCAATGCCTCTGCCACCTCAATGCCTTTTTGAGCCCGGAACGACGTCATCGACTGCCCATCGTTCTTCTTCCTTTAAAAAAAAAAAAAAAAATTGGTATAAATCCTAACCCTACCCATCGTTGCAACTGGTAGAATCCCCTTCAATTTTTTTCTGTTTTGTTTTTTCTACATTGGTTGAATTTTTGTGCAATTGGTAGAATCCTCTTCATTGATTTTCAGCAATTTAGGATTTTTTCTGCCATTACCGATGAGCTTTTGGGACATGAAATTTTTTTAAAAGATTTGAGTAATATTTAAGTTTCTCTATTAAAGTAGTCTATACCAAATTAAGTTTTTTTTCCTCAAATTTGAGTAAATATTTAAGTCTTCATTGGGGATGCTCTTATGATGTATTTGATATAGTGAATGAAAATATTAGGACTTAAATAGCTTGAACCGATCAACCTTAAGTAATTAGGAGTTAAAGTTTAAATTCAATTGTTATATCCATTGATTAAGTAGTCTTTTATGCCATTCTTTTTTAAATATTGAGTTGCTATATGTGTAAATTCAGTTTAGTTTTACTTTATTTTATGACTAGAAATTATTCGTGCCTAAAGACACTATACAACAATAAAAAATCGTAAAAGTCCAAATCGCATCTGATGGCGTATACCAACGTGGAAGAGTTTAAGGTGAAAATAATGTGAGGTGAGCGTGGATCAGAGCTACAAGACTCGTGTATGATGCTAACTGATAAAATATCCAGAGGATTAAAGGGGTGCACACAGTGAAAATATAGTGATTCACCGGTTCAAAAGTTCGGTTAGTTCACTCTTCAATAGAGATTCTTGCTCCTTTTGTTTTATTCACGATGATTACAAAGTTGTTATGGCTTCCTCTTGCCACTTGGGTTCTCTATCTTTGTTAGGAGGTGTTACAGTGCATTTATAGGGTCATTCCCTACTAAATGGGATTTTGGCCGAGATTCTTGCCTGACTTCGTGGAGTTCTCCCTAATTTTTGGAGAAGATCTTGGTTTGTTGAGATTAGATGTCTTGATTATAGCTTTCTAACGCTTTAGGAACCTCTCATGATTATCCAGTTGTTGTCTTGGTTGTTATTGTCATTGCTTATCTCGAAGGGACCTCCAGCTCTACTTTTCCGAGTTCTACTTGTCTAGTTTGGCCTCCTGGGCTGAGCTGACCTCCTGAGCTGGCACTTGAGATTTATTTTGAGGTATCATCAGTTGCTCCCCCAACTCTTAGCCCAAACGAGCTTGGGCATGGGCTGAGCTGTTTTTACCTTGGACCAGACCTGCGTCTAGCTGACCTTAGTCTGCATGTGAGATGCATGTGGGAGGGGTTTTTTGATGGTTACAGCAATCATGGCTCCCTTGGTTCCCGTGCATGCCTCATCTCATGTCTTTCAAGCCTTAAATGCTCAAACGGCTAAAAGAAAACCACACAAAACCACCTTCCATCTTCTACACTGTTCATCTTTGTCTTCGGCTCTTTTTCTCTGCGATTTATGGGCTTTCCTTCACGCGATTCCCTTATTCTCTGCTCTAGACTATGCTTTCTGGGTTCAACTCAAAGTCCTGCTTTGTTCCTTTCCTCTAATTTTATTCTTTGGCTGATGTTTGTTGCTCTCTTCCCTGTCTAAGTACGCTTCTTTTTGCCCCTTTCTCTTTCTCTTGCCTTTTCTCATTCGGGATCCCTCGACTTCGAGGTGACAATTATTTTTCTGAGTTTTTCAATTCTTTTTTTTTTGGAATCGCGATCGTTGCCTATCTCCTCTTCCCCGCTTTGTGGATTGGAATTTCACTGTGTGAATTCTTACTGTTGGGTGGTACAACACTGACCCTAGGATTATCAGGAGGTGTTTAGTTAGTATTCCTCCTTTTTATAATTCTTTCGACTTGTTTTTCTCTTTGCCAATCATGTCTGTCTCCTCTGGAGCAACTCCCTCCTCTGTTTTCCTCCTAGGCAACAGGTTTGCCAAGAGAGATTCTGATTTAGGGGATGTAGGCAATGAGATTGACAACTTCTTCGGTGTTGAGGCTGTTGACACCGAAGTGGACTCCGAGGAACTCCCTTCATCTTCCTCTCATATACCTCCTAGTGCTGAAAAGGGTAAGGGTAAGGTGAGTGGTGTGAGAGTCATTGGTTCAGGCGTAGGGGCTGTCTTTAGGAACGCTGAACTTGTAGGTTCCAACGGACTTACCTCTATTGACCTGAAGGTTTTCAGTGCTCGCTTTCATTTTTTCGTAGGGGTTCAGCCTTTCATCCTTTTATCAAAGTTGTGCTTCAACACTTCAATGTCTGCCCCTGCCCAGCTCTCCCCCAGCTTCTGGGGTGTTCTTATGGGTTTACTAGTCTTCTTTAAGGACCAAAAGTTTGGGGTCCCTACTGTTTCCTTACTTATGGAGCTGTTCAATGTCAAGCAGACCTCCTCTGACGGTTTTCTGTATATTTTCAAGATGACTAAGGTCAAACAGGTCATCTCTGACCTCTCAAGCTCCCATAAGGGCTGAAAGAAACGATTTTTCTTTATAGGCAGTACACAGTAGGAGTTCAACTCAGAGGATAAAGCTGATACCCTCCCCATCCCTACAGAGTGGTCTGCCCCTGATAATTTGTGTATGTTTCTGCTCAGATCGTATTTAATCCAACTGTTTTTTTAATTTTTTTTTATTTTCCTTGGTTTTCTAAGTATCCAACTTGAGCTCAGCACTGAAGAAGAGGAGTGAGTATTACAGAAATTGGAAAAGTATAATCCAGAGAAATATTATGAACTCATTCAACCTTGGATTCTCGTAGAACACGGGTTCTGCCTTCCTGAGGTGAGGGTTGAAGCTCCCCTTCCACTTTTTGTTGCTGGCCTCATCCCACTTTCTGCCGAAGATATATAAAATAACACTAAACAAGATTTATAATCGACACAAACTATCATATGTACATCAACGACAACAACAATAATTAAATTATATGTTAATTAAATAAATTTTGATATGTGCCAACATCATCGCTCTTTTTTTTTTCCCGATAAGTAACATCATTCCTCGTTCACAAGTATTCCAGTAGTAGCAAAATTGAATAGGGGGAAAATATTCAATAATATCACTACTTTTTTTTTTTTTGATCCAAATAATATCACTACTTATTAATAAGAGTTAGCATCATTGATTTTTCTCAAAGTATGAAATTTGTCTAATTTTAGTATCTAACATTTTAATTGCATCATTTTGGTCATTGAAGTATTAAATATATTTTTGTGGTCCATTAAATAGATAATATTTAAATTACTAAAAAAAATTTTATCGTAAACTTATCACGTAATACTTAAATATGACCAAAAAAATAATTTATATAACTTTTGACTAAATTTTTACTCAAATTTTGTGAAATAGTTACATAATTTTGATCATGATTTATCTAAATTTCGATTAAGAGCTACTCATATTACATATTTTTTGTCAAAAGTTATACAAATTTTAGTCAAGAGTTATCCAAATTATTTTTTTTTTCATATTTAAGTATCATGTAACAAATTTATAATTAAAAATCGTTAATAATTTAGATAATATCTGCTTGAAAAACCACATAAAAATATATTCAATATTTCAGAGACTAAAGTAATGTAATTGAAATATTAGAGACCAAAATAAAACAAACTCTATTATTTAGAAACCTCAAATACAATTAATCCTAATAATAAATCATTTTATAAAGCTAATACATTATCAATTAGTTTTTATTTGATAAATAATATCATGCGAGTATTTAGTCTGATTGTGGTATTGTTAGGTACAAGGACTAAGTCACCTAAGAAGTAGCCGCCTGTCCACGACATCGCCGCTGGTGGTGATAGTGAAAGGCAGCACAAAGTCGTCCCCTCTTCCGGTTGTAAGGGTATACTATATCAGTAATACTATATTGAATAAATTTTGAGATTAAATTTAAAGTATAACTGACATGACAGTTAATTTGGACTTTTTTGATTAGTGTGATGTCATTTGGACCCTAATAAAAACTTTAAATAATCAATTCCTATATCATTAAATTTTAAATTTAATTTTAAAATTTAGTCGGTCTAACATTATTCGTACTATATCCTACGGTAACACTTCCCTTTGTTCCGAACTATCTTAGCAACCGCGCTAATATATTTATGAGAAACAAGCATTCTACGTGCCGCGCCTTCTTTTTTCTATTCCTTTATTTCCATTTTCTTTCCTCAAACAACCGTATATTTATTTTTATCTTTGGTTTCATAGTTCATAGATTGTGAAAATATCATCTCATCATAATTCTCGTCGACCACACAAAAAGGTACCTTTGTGTACAAGATTGTCGGAGATATTTCGATAAAACATACCCACTTTTGATCTTTTCATACACCATTGTATTCACGATGGGTTGCAAATTCAGCAAAAAAATTGAAAATACTCCCGATCTGAGCTCATTTGAGGCTACTTTTGGAGCCGCTCCAGAACTTCAATCTCTAAGATTGAAGCTCAAGCAACGCGCCATTGGAGTTGTCACCACTCTCGATACTAGCGGCCAGGTTCGATCTCTTTCCTTAGACTCTCTCCGAGAAGTCCTCTGTTGTCTCCTCGAAAATGACAAAGAAGTGCTGAACGCAGTTTTAGAGCACCAGAAAGAAATTTGGGATAACCCAGAACTGTTGGATCTAGTCAAGGACTATTTCGAGACCAATCGTAAGAGTATAGCCTGGTGTGATTCTCTTGAAAAATGCCTCAAATGAGCTCGTGGCAGGCACGTCATTATTCAATTCGCATTAGCACAATTTGATGAAGAGCACACAGAAAGATCTCATGGCGGAAAGACCTCGTATTCAAAGACTTTACAAGAATTCAAGAATTTCAAGATGGCCGGTGACTCATTTGGTGATGAGGTCTTCTCTTCGTTTTGATCAGTTTACAAACAACAAAAGAATTTGCTAAAAAGGTTGCAAGTCCAAAAAAGTAAACTCGATAAAAAATTGAAGCAAGTGAATGCATGGAGGAAGGTGTCAAATGTGCTATTTGGGGTCACTTTTGCTGCGGTGGCCATTTTCTCAGCGGTGGTGATGGCCATGGCGGCGCCACCAGCGGTGATAGCGTCGGCCAGCGTGGTATCGGGGCCATTATGGTCAGCGGGTAAATTATTGGATTCGTTTTTTGAAAATTTGGTGAATATAATCAAACAACAAAGTGGAATAACTGGTTCTATGCATTTTAAGACCAACTGGTATGCGACTAAGGAGTTGGAAAGCTTGTGGATAAGTTGGATCAGAAGATGAAGTCGCCGTCGGCTGCGAATGATCTTGGTTTGGAAAAAGAGGAGGCTGTGATGGAGGTGGTGAATGAGTTGAGGAACAAGATAGATGTGATTATGCCAGAGCTTGATGCTTTGATGGAGCGCGCTGCTAACTATAGACAAGAAATTAGAAAAGATATGGAGACTATCTACGATAAAATTTGCCAGAATCCTAAGAGTAGCAGCTGTTGTAGCAATTTAAACTGCTTTACTTAGTGGTCTTGCTCTAAATCACTTTTAGTAGCAGCTGATGTCTCTAAAGAAGTGGTTTGTCTCATTTTAACCTTTAATATTTTTATTGTATAGTTTTGATATTTTTATGTGGTTTAGCGTTCAGATCGTTAATAATTTTTTTATTATAAATTTGTCACATAATACTTAAATATAAACAAAAAATCAATTTAGATAACTTTTGAAATATTGAGGGCAAACCTCATTTTTAGGGCATCTCCAACCGTTTTACTCAAATTTAAATTTAAATCAAAAAATCAAAAAAAAACTTGTTTCATGACTCAAACTTATAACAAATTAAAAAAAAAACTTTTTTTAGACCCAAAATTAGGGAGACCCAAATTCTATATCAAAATCCAACGACTACTTTTTCTCTTCCCTTCAATGCCTCTGCCACCACAATGCCTTTGTGAGCCCGGAACGACAGCATCGACTGCCCATCGTTCTTCTTCCTTTCAAAAAAAAAAATTGGTATAAATCCAAACCCTACCCATCGTTGCAACTGGTAGAATCCCCTTCAATTTTTTCTGTTTTGTTTTTGCTACTTTGGTTGTATTTTTGTGCAATTGGTAGAATCCTCTTCATTGATTTTCAGCAATTTAGGGATTTTTTTCTGCCATTACTGATGAGCTTTAGGGACATGAAATTTTTTTAAAAGATTTGAGTAATATTTAAGTTTCTCTATTTAAGTAATCTTTACCAAATTAAGTTTTTTTTACTCAAATTTGAGTAAATATTTAAGTCTTCATTGGAGATGCTCTTATGATGTATTTGATATGGTGAATGAAAATATTAGGACTTACACCACTTGAACCAATCAACTTGAAGTTATTAGGAGTTAAAATTTTAATTCAATTGTTATATGCATTGATTAAGAAGTCTTTTATGCCATTCTTTTTTAAATATTGAGTTGTTATATGCGTAAATTCGGCTTAGTTTTACTTTGTTTTATGATTAGAAATTATCTGTGCCTAAAGACACTATGCAACACTAAAAATATCGCAAAAGTCCAAATCGAATCAAACTAAAAAGTAATATAATATTTAGCGAGAAATGCAATGGGAGAATTATACAACTTTAAACCAATCACCTAATGCATCAGAACCTATCAAAACAACTCTCACCAATTTTTCAGTTTCACTAACATAACANATTAGAAATTATCTGTGCCTAAAGACACTATGCAACACTAAAAATATCGCAAAAGTCCAAATCGAATCAAACTAAAAAGTAATATAATATTTAGCGAGAAATGCAATGGGAGAATTATACAACTTTAAACCAATCACCTAATGCATCAGAACCTATCAAAACAACTCTCACCAATTTTTCAGTTTCACTAACATAACATAAAATAGTAGTCATGTTGCCACTAATTAGTAATTAAATTAGCAAAAACAATTAGTCAAATTATCATATACACCATAACCGAAATAGATTCAATTATAATAGAAAATAAGTAAGCAATGAAAGGAGTGTTTACGATTATCAAAAATTTAGAGCCCAATTCAGATCAATCCAAATATCGTCACTCTAAAGTGTAACTTGTCAAAATATATATGAAGTCAAATTTCAATGACTCTTTAAGAAACTATAAAAAATATTATAAATCCACAAATATAAAAACCTATACTGTTAAAAAACACAGAGACATAAACACCGACACGAACACACACAAAAATATTGTCACCCTAAAATCACACAGATATGAACATTGACACATGAACACACACAGACACCAAAAGAAAAAACCCAAAACACACAATGGCACACACAGACTACTAACATAAACACACACAGGCGCGCACACACAATCACACACACACACACACACACATCAATATAAAGTCACTCTAAAATCAGACATGAACACGCACACAATCACTCCAAAATTAGACATAAACACACACATGAACATGCACACATATGAAACAGGCACGCACACACATGCACAGTTATANTGAACACGCACACAATCACTCCAAAATTAGACATAAACACACACACACACATGAACATGCACACATATGAAACAGGCACGCACGCACATGCACAGTTATAGAGAGAGAGAGAGAGATAAGGGAAGAACACAAACACACACATACATGAACAGACACATACGAACACCCACACCCACACAGACACACACACACATGAAATAGGCACACACATAGAAGCACAATTAGCGAGAGAGAGAGAGAGAAGATCAGAAATGAACACACACAGTGACTCTAAAATCAGAAATGGACACGCACACACATGAACATGCACACAAGCACAGGCACACAGTGACTCTAAAATCAGACATGAATACACTCGCACACATGAACACACACAGGCACACACATTGAATAGGAACACGCACACAGGCACACACACAGTGAGTCTAAAATTAGACATGACCACAGGCACACACAAGTACACACATGAAACAGGCACACACACATGCACAATTAGATAAAGAGAAAGAGAAGTTTTAGAGGAAGATACATACTTGGATTCCTTCTTGTGCTTCGGTGTGTGTTGCAGGCGTAAGGTAGAGACAAAGTGGAAGGGAGAGAGGTAGAGTTGTTGGAGAGATAAGGGAAGATAACTTGTTTTAAAAAATGAGAGAAAGAATTAGAGGAGAGAGGAGTATCGGGTAACAGATAAGTTATTTTTAAAAATGGGTGGGGAGAGAGTTAGGATGAGACAGTGTGAGAGTTATATAAAAAGATAGAAAGATAAAAATAGATGAGAAATATGATTTTTTGTATCGGTCAATATAAGATAAGGAGAAATACTTAGATAAGATATAGGAGTATTAAAAATATTTGGTATGAGAACCGTTTGATTAATAATGGTTTGAGCCGCAAAAAATTAATTACTTTATTATATAAATATTTATGATCAATACTTATGACTGTAAATCATTTTTGGGTGTGGTGTGGGAATGTTTTATTTGACATTATATAGCAACATCCATTTACACGAGTCATTTCAGTACAAGAAAATTTCAAAAAATCGGCATTTCAATGGTCCAAAAAACGCTGGCAAGGCTCAACTCCGACATTCCTTCAACACCTCGCTTGTACCGGCGTCTAGAAATCTCTTGGCGTAAAAAAAACGCTAAAAATATATACTGACGATTTTTTTTTTGATGGCTTCATTGGCCGGACTCTGGTGACGGAACCTCGGCTTCAACATTCAACTATTAGCTTTTTTATTATTGAAATTTTTTTATTTGTAGTGCTGAAGTTGATTGGAAGATGATTCAAATTAAAATTGTTCAAAACAAGTTTTCCTAATGAACTTATTACCAAATAAGTTCATAAAGGGAGACCAATCTCCAAACTTTTTTAAATTCAAAAAAAGTCAAAAAGGAAAAATATACCCATGATGGATCCTGATGATGATGCATAAAATAGATTTATGCAAGATCAACAGTCGAGTAAATGATATAGAGAATTAATGAGACATTTAATAAAGCAATAAATGGTAAAAAAGTAAATATTAGATTAACATGCAAATATAGAGTAGTTCGGTTCGGATGGCCTACTTCACTTTGAAAAATAGCAACGGTGGCCAATGGATCTTTTATTAATTAAGTAAGGTGAACGAGAGAGAGAGAGAGAGAGCAATGATTAGTTCCAGGAGAGATACAATAACTAGGAGAGAGAAAAACTATGTGTGGGATATGTAGAGTGATGTCCCTCCCATGTGGAAAAAGCTTATAATTTCTAAGCACGGAGCTTTTTGGTGAGGCAGTGACGCGACGGGTAGGATACTAACTTATAGGGATAGGTACAATTAGAGATAATCTCTATCTTGGAGAGTGACTATTTCAATAATTACTTCTCACGTGCGTTAATCTTCCTTGAATCCCTTGAATCTTGGACTGGGTCAAATCTATGAATTGGACTTGATCCGCCTTATAGCAGATTTGGACCTATTTCATTAATTAGGCCTAGCCCAGTTACATCTGGGCTTGTCAGATCCAATGGATCACAGGCTACGATATAATGAAAAATACTATTTATATTTAATTTGAGAACTTAATCCAGGTATTTGAGAAAAAACTCAAAATCCTAATGGGTGATGAGTGGACCGTTAATCTATTTATACTACTTATAAATATTAATATTTGTGAAAAAATTTAATTTTTTAATTTATCCATAATTATTATTATAAAGTCAATTCTATCTCTATTTGACTTCTAAATTTTTTAAAATTCTTTTATAAATAGTATTTGACTTCCAAATTCTTTTAGACTTAGTTATTAGTAGTTTACTTATATACAGTCATTTATATTCTATTTTTATATAAGGTAGTTGATAGATTAACTTTTATGTTCAAATATATTTCATATTTAATTTTTTTTATATGCAAAACATCATAATAATGGTTTACAATTTAATTCATCACTTTGACAAAAAAATATAATAAATATTTAAAATATTTAGATTTCCAATAAATGACAATCTTACTATAGAACTCCACCAACAAACACAAAAGGAAATGTATAAAGTAGCTGGGGAGATACCTAAACAAATAAAAGATTATAATTTTTTTATTAAAAATATTATTTAAATACATTTTTTAAATACATTTGCGTATAACGTATGTCGTATATTCTTAATAAGAAAAAAAGACAAAAAAAAAGTAATATAACAAATTCAAAAAAAAAAAAAAGAAAGTGAAAATATACCCGTGAAGATAGATCAGATGGGCCACACGCTAATAATATAATGGACAAGCACTGATGGTATATCTTCTCGGATGGGTCAACCCGAAAATTTGACTACAGACAAACAGATGTCGTTTGACCCGTAAGTGGGACTGATTCAATGCGTTATTACATATATACTAATACTTTGTGACCATTGATTACTCTAATGGTAGCAGCTGCTTAGAAGGTCACTCTGTCACTAAACCAAAATGCAACCATTCAACAACACAAGTCCAAACTCTCTCAGTGGAGGGGGCCACACGAGATAGTGATTGACATCACACACTCATTCACCTAGGTCGAAGATAAATCGAATCTGGATTTGAATCTAAAGAGACTCTAAATTCAATTAATCAAGTGATATTGGTGTCTATTATCGATGATTTGAGTTTTTTATTTAAAAATGTTATATTGCATTTTATATGTTTTTATTTACATTTGTTATATAACAATTCAAATATTTATATAAGTTTAAAAATAAATGAGAATATTGAACAATTATTTTTTATAAAACTAAAGTCAAATACACAAAAAAAAGAAGCTTAATATCAGATTTGGATGTGATTTTTAGAATGAATTTTTAATTTTGAATGAATTCTCACACGAGTTATAGCGAGTATAATTCCCTACATATTCGAATAGAATTTGAATCAAAATAATTAATTAAAGCCAGATTGGGATTTGGATTTACTCCATTAAACAAGCATACTACCTGCATATATGATTTTTATATATGCTATTTGACTTTGGGTTTTTTTGTTTTTTGAATTTTTTTATTTGACTTCGGTTTTGAAAAATATATCATACTGAAGTTTATAAATTTTTATGGGGTAATATGCAACTTTTTGATATTTTAAATTTTTTACAGATCATAATTTTTTGGGATTTAATTACACGTTGATACTGTGTTAGATATTTTTTTTAATACCGTAGAATTCTCATTATATATATGGGAAGTTTAGTCATTTAGACATATTACGATTGACTCAACAACCAACCTCTTTTTCTTTCTTATTTTTTCTACAAACAAATTACATCTAAATTCTTAAATTTGTCAGTTAATCACTTAAATCCTCTAATATTTAAAATTAGTTATTATCTGTGCTTGAAGACATAAAATAATAAACAATAATAAACAATAAATATATTTTTATTTATATCAAAAATCAAATCACAAACATAGATAAAAGATAAAAGAATTAAAACAACCGTTTGTAATGGGGGTGAGAGGTGGTGGGCGGTAATGGTGGTGATAGGAGACGGTGATAATTGTGGTGGGTGGCAATGACCGTGGTGGCGGTGAGGGCAATAGTGATGGTGGTGGGCGACGATGACGGTGATAGTGGTGGTGGAGGCGGTGATGGTGGTGGTGGCGACGACGACAGTGGTGGTGGCGGTGACGGCGACGGCGACAATGGTGGCAGTAGCGGTGGTGGTGGTGGCGACGGAGGTGATGATAGTAGAGGTAGTAGTGAGACAGTTTCAAATACTATTTATTTTTTAAGGTATTTATAAGAAATAATTTTTAAAAGTACTTTTAAAAAGTTACTCTAAACACACCTTATGACTTATTTTCCCTATTTATTTTGGAATGTTGATATTAACCATCGAATTAACTTTAAAGTAAAATTTAAAATGATCTCAATCGCGAATAGCAAAAGTTATTTTGTTTATCTTTTGATATTTGAAGTTTAAGCTACTTTATTATATAGACTAGTTATTACCTGTGTCTGAAGGTACAGAGTAATAAAAAATAGTAAATAATAAACATATTTGTATTTATATCTAAAATCACGTCACAAACATAGAGAAGCGATAAAAAAATTTAAGCATTGGTTTGTGGCGGAGGGGAAAGGTAATGGGCAGTAGTGAAGATGATAGGGGACAGTGATAGTTGTGGTGGGTGGCATTGACCGTGGTGGTGGCGACGACGACGACGATGGTGGTGCGGTGGCAGCGGCGGTAGCGATGGTGGTGGTGGTGGTAGCAACGACGATAATGGTGGTGGTGGCAGTGGTGGTGGGGATGGTGATGGCGGCAATGGTAATGGTAACGGTGTCGGTAGTTGTAAGACGGTTTCAAACACTATTTTTTTTTAAGTATTTATGATAAATTATTTCTAGAAATATTTTTAAAAAATTACTCCAAATACACCCCTTATGAGTTTATTTTTTTTATTAAATTTAGGGTGTTAATATTAATCGTTAGATTAACATTAAAGTTAAATTTAAAAAGATCTCAACCGCGAATAGCAAAAGTTATTTTGTTTATCCTTTAAGATTTGAATTGTAAGCTACTTTATTATATATACTAGTTATTGTCTGTACCTGAAGACACAGTATAATAAAAAATAGTAAATAATAAACATATTTGTATTCATATTTAAAATCAAATCACAAACATATAGAAGAAATAAATGAATTTAAGTATCGATTGTAGTGGAAGTGAGAGGTGGTGGGCAGTAGTAGTGGTGGTAAGAGACGTTGATGGTTGTGGTGGCGACGACGGTGATTGAGGTGGTAATGGTGATGATAGTGACGGCGGCGGCGGCGGCGATGGCGACGGTGGCGGTGGTGGGGGTGGCGACGACGATGGGGG